TCCCTATCACATGCTGTTTGAAATAGACCCAGTCCGATTTGGTTCGAGGGTCGGTGTTATTTACCACTACCACCTTCAGTAGCTCTTCCTTCAGGCCCTGTATGGCTGAGGCGATTTTCATTGCATCTGGTACCTTTCCAAGGTGTGTGGACCAAAGTTCAAAGTTGGCAAAATACTCGGCGGCCGTATCCGTCTGTCTTAACTCCTGCAATTTCCTCATAGCCGTACCTGCCATGTTACTGTCTCCAAATTGAGTTCGTAAATGCTGGATGAATTTGTCGTAGCTCTCTAGCCATTCGGTCAAATTCCATATACTTGGATTGGTTATGGCCGGGGTTATAAGCATTTGAGGGGTGCCTCGAAGATACCCGTACATGAACAGGATCTTTCTGCGATCGGTGGCGTACTCTGCCCCTTTGAATTCGAAGTTCATGTGACATGCTGCAAGGAAGTTGTCCAATTCTCCTCGTTCTCCACTGAAGGTAGGTGGATCCGCACACCTGGTTCTTCCTGTTCGTTCGTTGTTGGTAAGTTTTGGCTCCAAACACGGCTTGTTTTCTTCGACTTCGATCAAACTTGCCCCTTTCGATGTGAGTATCTGTTGGTTCTGTCGGTCAGCTTTCATCGTAGCCAGTTCTTCCCTTAATGCATTTTGTTCCTTTTGTTGCATCGTCATAATGGCTAACAATTGTGACAACTGCTGCGATAATTCATTTAGCGGATCTGGGGTAGTGGTAGTAGAAGTGAGATCATGTGAAATGGTACTTCTCGAAGAACTTGTTGGTATTTCTTCCTCTGGGACCAGCCCTTGTTCCAACTCCTCTTTTTCTGGTATCATTTTCCGCGCTTTCCCTCTGGTGAGCATACAGTACTCTCCGATTCGACCCAAGGTGCGTAAGGCTGATTCTTCAACTTGTAACGGTACTGGAAACACGACGACTAGGTCGCAGGTTGGGTCGAACTCGATGGAGGTCTTGTGGAAATCTAGGGGCTCTGGTGCTAATGGATCGTGTCTCCTCTGCAATCGATGTAGCCAAAGAATGATATTGAAGAATCAGCAAAGTTGGTACTTTGCTGATTGTACTATATACTGTCTACAGGTATCCGTCTCCTCTTCTCAGTCCTACTGCAAGCGTCCATGTACATACTCGGACAGGTGAAAAACCGCTTTGAGCAAACCCAGTGGGGAAAATCTCGAAAGGGGAAAACCCGTCCCTACCTACTGCAGCACTGCCTCCAACTCCCGCTTTCCTCTGTCCTAATCCGTCGAACTCGATAGAGTTCCCTCGATTCGTTGTTACCCCGTAACACCAAAGGAGGGTCATTGTTGGTGGAGTAATCGAGGTGTCGCGACGTAGTTCGTGACACCATGCTCGGTGAGACAAGACAGTTTGACAAAGGTGAGAACACGGATAGTCAATCAGCATGGTGAGCCAGGAAGAGGGACCAGAAGGGCCAGGGATTAGTGGTGATTTAGATGATAACATTTCTCAGCCAGGTAAGTGGACAGGTAAAAGTCCATTCGATACGAACGTCAAAATACATCAGGTAATGGTACTAAACAAGTGCTAGATGAAATTGCGGCTCCATCGTTTCATCAGTCTTGACCGTCCATTTCATCAGTCTTGACCGTCCACTCATCCCGTTGGACTGTTTTCTCATCCTTCCTTTTGCTTCATGCCCGGAACTCACTGTCTCTGTCACTGCTTCATCCCTGTGCCCAAGCCATCCCAAAGATACAAGTCTAAGAAGATCTTCTGCCCCTCCCCTCTAAACACGACAAAGCAGCTTCCCAATGAGCTTGACGGTCTATGATGACATTTTGACCCTCGCGGGACAGTCTTCCCCCACTTGCTAAGAAGGAACTCCGTCTCCTATCCGAGATTCGGGACTGGCTTCCATTGTGGGGCAAAAGATTTGAGTCATATGACGCTGTTGTCCGTATGGAGGGGTCGGAGGAGAAACGGGAAGGAGGTTGGTCTGGGTAGGAAGGTGAATCAGATGAGTAGGAAGGAGGATTATCTGAGTAGGAAGGAGGACCATCTGAGGAAGACCGAATATCAATTGTGATCACATAACGGCTGTTGTTTGAGTTCTGGGATGATATCGGCCGTCGGTTGGATGATAGCGGGGTAGGCGAGGACGGAGGTGAACGTTGGAAAGAATTAGGATCGATGCTGAACGCCTCACCAAAATCGAGGGATGGTAATCTAAGTTGGCTCAAACGAGTACTCCAGCTTTCATCATCATCCACATCATCCGGCATGCCAAGTTCCGTATCGACGTGGGACCTCATGATGACTTGCACTTTAGAAGTAAAGCGGAATTTGCCAGTTACAGCTTCGAGTTGGGATAGAGGACGGCTGTGGCGGGAATCTTCCGGGTCAGGGGTTCAACAAGAAATATTCTTTGGGCCTGAGCTGGAGAGAGAAGTAGAGGCAATTGTCGCAGGCGCCTGTTGATGGAATGTTTTTACGTTGACTGTTTTTGTGTCCCCCTGAAAGTGTAGGACTAGGCTTATCGACTTCGAGAGGCGATGGAAAACGGGCGATGGCTGCCACGTGCCTATTTGACAGGTATGCAACGGAGGCATGTTAGGCCTGAGAAGCAACAAGTCGGCAACACTTCTCATATCCTCAATCCGTTCAACCCCATCAAAACCCCTCAATGATTGTCCTCTGCAGGTAATGGGACATCACTGACAGCTTCATACATGGTTAAACATGCACCAAATCACTGACTATGTACACCCAAATTGCTTACAGGTAAAACCTCACCCACAGCTTAAAGTGGTACACACTTGTCCTGTGAGGAGAGAGGTTCAAGGAGTGAACATATATTCTGTTGGTCTGGTCACTTCCTGTTTGTCTCTCCTAGAGATCCTCCCAGCTGTTCGGGATAGATCTTGCCTACATTTCTTAGAAGCAATGCAACTTTTACAATGTTGGTTATACTTGTGGTGGGCAAATCCGCACTAGTGCCACATCATCGGCGTTGCGGGACTTTTGCGAGGTACAAGTATAGACAGTTTGGAAGGAATGCATGGAACTCGCATGTCAACCATGCGCTTGCCATGTGAAATCACTGATTTCCCTGTGATTTTCCTTGATGATCAGCTGGGAAACCCTTTGTTACGGGGTAACAACGAATCGAGAGGACTCTATCGAGTTCGACGGATTAGGACAGAGGAAAGCGGGAGTTGGAGGCAGTGCTGCAGTAGGTAGGGACGGGTTTTCCCTTTTCGAGATTTCCCCACTGGGTTTGCTCAAAAGCGGTTTTTCACCTGTCCGAGTATGTACATAGACGCTTGCAGTAGGAACTGAGAGGAGGACACGGATACCTGTAGACAGTATATAGTACAATCAGCAAAGTACCAACTTTGCTGATTCTTCAATATCATTCTTTGGCTACATCGATTGCAGAGGAGACACGATTCATTAGCACCAGAGCCCCTAGATTTCCACGAGACCTCCATCGAGTTCGACCCAACCTGCGACCTAGTCGTCGTGTTTCCAGTACCGTTACAAGTTGAAGAATCAGCCTTACGCACCTTGGGTCGAATCGGAGAGTACTGTATGCTCACCAGAGGGAAAGCGCGGAAAATGATACCAGAAAAAGAGGAGTTGAAACAAGGGCTGTGTCACGGCCGTCGAACAACTATTTCTTAATAGACCGACGGTCGACGAACCTCGGCTAACTTCACGCTCTGAGTCGATGTCTCACCCAACCAGGAGGGCGCAGACGTCGAAAGGGGTGTAACTACGGCGTACTTCGGCGTAGTTACTCTAACTAGGGTTTTGTTCTACTGATGGCGATGTATCTTGATTTATAGCTATCTCTATCTGTCTTTCACTACTGACAACAATCAAGGATCGCTGAAGAACTTCAGCGATCTTCTCAGCTAATATTATCTACTCCTCCTAGACGTTCATCCAACCCTCTCGCGCTTTGACGTACTTCAACGCACTTCGTCCAACTTCCCCGAGCCCTCGGCCATCCTCTTCCTCCTTCGACTAACTCCGCCTAACATCGCCGCACTTCTGCTCCCATTGTCCCTACTTAGCCTAACTCCGTCTAACTTCGCCGTACTTCTGCTCCCATTGTCCCTACCTAGCCTAACTCCGTCTAACTTCGCCGTACTTGGTCTCAGAAGTCCTGAGTTACGTGTAGAGTAAAGAGGTTAAGGCGTGATGGGGGTTTTGATGGTCAAAGGAGGGTCATTGTTGGTGGAATAATCGAGGTGTCACGACGTAGTTCGTGACAGTCGCCCCCTTCTTTAGCCGCGAACGTCCTCGTGAGCGATTACACCTCTGTCGTGTCAAGAGAACTTAGCAGCGTAGCAGTTGCAAGTGACTGGCTGCCCATGACCATCCTCCAC